TGTTGTTGGGTCTCCACCCCAACAAGGGTTGGCCAAGTCATTCACAGTTGGCCAATCCAAGAGGAATTGGCCAATCCAAGAGGAGTTGGATAACCCCAGGTTGGTGGTTGGCCAACCCGGTGTTGGGTCTTCAACCCAACACAGGTTGACGAAGTCATTCACGGTTGGACAATCCAGGAGGAATTGGCCAATCCAAGAGGAACTGGCCAATCCAAGAGGAGTTGGATAACCCTGGGCTGGTGGTTGACTAACCCAGTGATGTTCTTCAACCCAACAAGGGTTGGCCAACCCAAGAGGAGTCGGATAACGATTGGTTGATGGTTGACCAACCTGCTGTTGGTTCTTCAAACGAAGTCATTCACGGTTGGACAATCCAGGAGGAATTGGCCAATCCAAGAGGAACTGGCCAATCCAAGAGGAGTTGGATAACCCTGGGCTGGTGGTTGACTAACCCAGTGATGTTCTTCAACCCAACAAGGGTTGGCCAACCCAAGAGGAGTCGGATAACGATTGGTTGATGGTTGACCAACCTGCTGTTGGTTCTTCAACCCAACAAGAGGGGTTGGCCAACCCAAGAGGAGTTGAATAACCCCGGGTTGGTGGTTATTCCTTCTCCTTGGAGTTGGTTATTCCAACTCCTTCACAGTTGGCCAACTCAACAAGCACCAGCCAACCCAAGAGGAGTTGGAGAACGATTGGTTGATGGTTGACCAACCTGCTGTTGGTTCTTCAACCCAAGGGTTGGCCAATTCATTCAGAGTTGGGCAACTCCAGACTGGCTGGCAAACCCAAAGAGAGCTGGACAACCTACCAGAGTGGTTGACCAATCCAGTGACGGTTAAAGAAGCCTCCAAGCATGAGTTGACCCAATGGGAGTTGATCACCCAACGCAATGGAACAACTCCAAGTGTTGGACAACCCAACGTCACCGGGTTGTAGATTATCAACCCCAAAAAGGGTTGACCAAACCAGGTGGAGGTGACCAATCCAATGGCAGTTGACCAACCCCAGCGATGGTTGGCCAACCCGAAGAGGTCATCCCGACCCAAACGAGGCCCATCAATGGACTAGGAGTTGGGTGAACCAGTGGAGAACGGTGGGTTCACGCCCCGTCTTTCCGTAGGGTGATTCCGGAGGACCTCTGGTTTGCAACGGGACCCTCCAAGGGATCGTCTCCTGGGGCATGGAGAAATGTGGGCAGCCCAGGAGACCGGGCGTCTACACCAAGGTCTGCCGATACGCCCAGTGGATCCGGAAGACCATGAAGGACAACTAGCGACGCTCCGAACGCCCAGGGAGAGGTCGGAGCACCCTTCCGGGCCACCACTGCCCGCCGCGGGCGGGACGTTGGGACAGCAGAGGCTGTGGCGAGGTTGTGGCGAGGGGGACGTGGTGAGGGGGCGCGTGGGACGGCACGAGAAATTAAAGAGTTGTGATGGTCGGTGGGAAATTTTGTCCTTTCAACCTCTCCCCCTCCAAAAAAAAAAATTGGATTTCCAGATCAATCCCAGGCATCTCCTCTCCTCCAGGGTCATCCACAGGCCCAGTGTCCGCTCCTGGCCACGGGCTTCGAGGTCAGATCCTTCCCACCGTCCCCAAAATATGTGACTTTCCGGCAGGAAGAGCCGACTCGGAAGACGAAGCTCGCGTCCGTCGCGCGCGCTGTCCTACCGGTCATCTCCCAAGGACCACGGGCGTGGCTGCAGCTGACCAATCGGCGGCGTTGAGGACGCGGGACGCTGGTGGACGCATCCTCCAACCCAAATGGAGTGGGTCAACCCAACCGGGGTGGCCAACCGAAGACGGTTGCCCAACGCAAGCACTGTTGGCCATCCTATCCAATGGGAGGTGACCAATGGGAATGGAGAACCCAACGAGCATCGGCCAATGCAACGAGGGTCGTCCAATCGGTGAGGGTGACCCAAGCGGGGAGGGTCACCCTATTGGTGAAGGTCACTCAATTGGTGAGGGTCACCCAATCGATGAGGGTCAGCCAATCAGTGAGGGTCAGCCAATCAATGAGGGTCACCCAATTGGTGAGGGTCACCCAATCGATGAGGGTCAGCCAATCAGTGAGGGTCAGCCAATCAATGAGGGTCACCCAATTGGTGAGGGTCACCCAATCGATGAGGGTCAGCCAATCAGTGAGGGTCAGCCAATCAATGAGGGTCACCCAATTGGTGAGGGTCACCCAATCGATGAGGGTCAGCCAATCAGTGAGGGTCAGCCAATCAATGAGGGTCACCCAATTGGTGAGGGTCACCCAATCGATGAGGGTCAGCCAATCAGTGAGGGTCAGCCAATCAATGAGGGTCACCCAATTGGTGAGGGTCACCCAATCGATGAGGGTCAGCCAATCAGTGAGGGTCAGCCAATCAATGAGGGTCACCCAATTGGTGAGGGTCACCCAATCATTGAGGGTCACGCAAATTAGTGAGGGTCAACCAATCAATGAGGGTCACCCAATCGCTGAGGATCACTTGGGCTCTACCCAAGACCCACCCA